TGGCACAATAAACTAACTAACTCAGGCACCAACCACAAAAGATGGTGGAGCACCCAAGGACTAGCAACAGTCAGAAGGAATTGCACCAAACAATTGCTCATAGTGATGATGGTACAGATAGAGAAACACATTAGTAGCCTGCAGTCCTAGGGGTAGTGATAGGAGGAGTTTCAGAATTAGAGCGCAGGATCACTGTCAAATCCACAGCTCCACAGGAGGCAGCTGAGTTGGTAATTCACCTGACCCATCTGCCAATCTGCTTTCTGGGTCTTTCTTCTGGCTGACTCTAAACAGAGAGTTTGAGAGCCCAGTTGGCGCCGTCAGTAGAGAATCAAGCCTGGAGCCCGGTAACACCACAAAGGGATGGGAACTAGAGGGTCAAGAAGGCAGCTCAGATGCTGCTAAGACTTTTTCCTGAGGACACCCAGTTGGTAAGTAGATAAGCCAATCTGAATCTCCATGGAGAAATATGAGTGGAGAGCTCCATTGGGAGATCATCAGCTTTAGATGACCTATTCATATCATCTTATGATAGATATGCTAAGCTATTACTGTGGGCTACCCATTGGCCAAACACCTCTCAACTCCTTTCATTCTCAAAGCAAACCTCCATGTTCAATATCATTACAACATTCATGCACAGTGAGGTAAAGCAACAGCGAAGATCTCTCAGCTAGAAGGTGTCGGGGGAGGAATTAAATCCCAGTTGTTTCCAGGCTCAGAAGAAGTGATACAAGTGATTGCAGCACACAGCTCCGCTACCCGAGACAGCTCAATATTAGAGCAGAGGATTCTTAACTCACATGATCATTGTTTGGGGTAAGACTCTTCCCTCTTTTTAATTTCTTCGGCTTCTTTGAAAGAAAACAATTCTGACAAGAATTCATCAAAGAAAAGAATTCCAAATTGCAAGGTCCCAGTTTGGGTATTGCATTTTATTAAGGCTGTTTGCGGATTGCAGTATGAGTAGCCCACATATTCCCGGGACCACGGAAGGAGTACATTCATTCACTTTTATCTTGGGAACAAAGCTGGAGGAAAAGCTTTTTTAACTTTTTTTTTTTTTTTTAACTCATGAAACATTTATCTTCGAGTCAGGTTTTGTTATAGCCGCATAAATGTGTTCCGTCAGCGCTTCCATTATAACTCCATATTTCCAGGGCTTTTCAAAAGTGCCTTAGAGACTCTACTTTGAATTAAAACTTTGCATTCAGAATTTGAATGAGAAAACTACATTTCTCTTACCAATTAATCAAATGGGTTAGAGATACTTAATTTAGAAGAGGACCACATATGAAACTTTTATTTGTATAAAAAATAATTTAAGACAATTTGCTAGTTAAAATATTGTTAATAGCCACACTCACTAAAATATATCGTATCGCATTGGGCTTTTGGTTGTTTTTTTTTTTTTACAATATCAGTTCTCAAGGGAAATTAAGCACAACATTTCTTCGGATAGTATTAAAAAATTAGTAGCGTCTTAGGCTTTATCTCTTATTTTTTTGGCATTATAAGTAATTTACTTCTACTTTGAAGTTCTGGATGGCTTGAAGTCTCAGTGTAATTGGTGTAAAGTTATAGAGGATCAGAACCTGAACCAGAATAACACGGGGAAGGGAATGAGAACTCTGGGAGAAGATCAAATGTTTTAACATATTTTCATGAAATTTAAATTTCTGTGCGGAATGTTTATATTCTCTAAAAAGGGATATATAGCATGGGTTAATTTTGTCAATGTTTATTGGAATGATCACTTACTAAGATTGAATAGGTACATCATGATCTTCCTGTTGCTAACATCAGACTGACAGACAACTCCTCTGCGCCCTTTCATGTAGGGCTTTGGCCAACGAAGTGTCACAGGAATAAACCAGTATTGTACAATTTGTGTGATCCCTCACTATGGTCAGGGGAAATTACAGGTTGACCACTTGAATGGGAGACTCAGAAAAGACGAAGAGAAGCCCTTTGAAGAGTCTGATGTGGGAGATTGCATTACTGGTAGCACCCTGGAAAGCCACGCATACTCAATGTGGTGTGGCCACCCACCATCTTTGAGGGTGGCCCTGCCATCTTTGAGACCCTGTTTTAATGCGGTGTAAAATATTTCCTCACTTGCCAACCCATAATCATGCAAATTCCTCAACACAGTCATCTTCCCTTGCTGCCTGGGCAGCTTTTACATCACCGGAAAGGATTTGAGCTTTTTCTTGCACTGACCAAATCGGTGGCTGTCGGGAGATTCTGACTCACAGAGAGCAGAACTGCCCCAGATGGTATACGATGCTGGGTATCCGATGCTGGACGTCTTCCCGGTAACAGATTGACACATCGTGTTAGGTTTGGGAGGCCGAACACTTTAACCATTGGTTAGCTGCTGAGCACTTTAACCATTGTGCCACCAGGCCTCCATCCACTAGAACAAGGAAGATATCATTACAACTGGATCTACCCTGGGGATGGACGAAAGCCTTTCCAAGTTTGTTTCTCTTCTTCTCTGAATGATTGATAATCACAGGGCGCATGATGATGAACCTCTGTCCCCGTTATCTCATTCTGCACCCTACTCGATCCTTGTTTGGCTTGCTACTCTGGACTTTAGGGTCAATGTCCACTCGTAGCCTGTTCACTGGAGTCGGAGGGCACCATACTGTTTCCTAGGCTCTACTCTCTCTAGAAGAGAGTCGGTTGTTTTGTTCTTGTTCTGTGTAAACTGTTTTGGACTAGGTAAATATAAAGTAGTGAATGAGACAGGCAGAACATTTCTGAGTAAATCTACTCACCTGCTAACTGACTCTACTCAAGCCATCCTGGCCCCTTAGCTGTTCCAGAAACACTCCAGGCAAACTCCTCCCTCGGGAAATGAGCTCGAACTTTCCATCCACACTGGAACACTTCTCCTCCAGTGCTTGACTAACATGATTTACTTCTGTTTTCATTCACACTTTGCCTTTTGAATGAGGCCAAATCAGATCGCTCTACTTGATAATGTGATTTGTTAGCATCCCTATCCCTAAAGTTCAAGATGGCCCCTGGCTTTGACTTCTTTTCAGGAACTTTGCTATCTTCAAACACACTATATGTTTATTTTGATATCTTTCTGTCAACATTATGATGTACAGTCTAAGGGAAGGGTTTTTTTCCCTAGTCATTACTATCCCCTTAGGAACTCAGAATTATAATGCAGTTAAATTAATTACACGTGAATATTTGTTGCTGGAATAAGTTATTGAATATCTGAATTTCAAATCCCATAGGAAAAAAAAACCCAAACAATAGGCTGTAACTAGCCTTTTAAGTTTCATCTAAAGAATTTGGATTATTTTCTTAAGACTGTTAGGCACCCCTTGAACACTGGTGTCAAAATAAAAGATCCCATATGTAGCTCCTTTTTATCATTGATTGTGGGTTCATCTCTCTGGTAATTGTTTAAACTGAGCCTTACAACATTTTCAGGTAATTTTAAATCTGGCTCTTGTTTGGAAAAGATGAACTGAGCAGGTAAATATAAAGTTTCCATAAAACAAATGCTTAATATCTATTAAAATACCACGGTGTATGCTGTATAAAATTTTATACACGTAATGATAATAATGCTGAATTCAGAAATTAAAATGCTGCCCCATAACTAAGAAGAGAAAGAAAGAAATGGGGGTGGGGGCTGGAGAAAGGGTTTCTGCAACCGTGGTGGAAATGTTCCCCTGAATTCAAAAGTCCTCTTCTGCAATGTCTTCCTACCCGGGAAGTCTTGAAGACCATTCCAATTGCAAAATTTAGTACGTGTTTACCAATAGCTCACTGTGTAAAAGCCAGGATGTAAGCACAGATTCCAGTATTTGTGGCACACCCATCCACCCAGTCTTGTCTAACCCTGAGTGGTAGTTTATAATAAAAGCTAGCATCTTCTAGAGTAAAAATTTATTCATTCTATTACTTGAATAAATAATTACATTGAAAAAAAAAAGGAAAATGAGCGGATTCCGGGAACCCAAGAGGCAAGAGAATTTTGGGAATGATGAGGGCAACAAATGTATAGATGTGCTTTACACAATTGATATATGTATTGTGATGAATTGTATGAGCCCCAATAAATTGATTAATAAAAAAAATTATATTGAAGTGCAAATAAATGCAATTATTTTTTCACTTTAATTTTTATATTAAGTGGATTATTTGATTTTACTTCTGTTTTTGTTTTTTCCTAGAGTAAATGTGAGCAGTCGCTTTATGGTCACATGCATTCTATCAATGATGCCACCTTCACTCCAAGGGTGAGTTGGACTCTTGCAATCAATTCATTCAATCCTTCCAGGTACAAATTACATTTTAAGAAACAGAATTTTATAGGAAATGGTAATTTTGAAACCGAGCAGAAGAAAGGATGTAGACAGCATGAGAGTGAAGCGATGGCAGTCAAGTTCGCAGAGCAATGAATAAGTTTAATACATACACACACACACACACACACACACACACACACAGGCACACACTTGCCCACTCACAGACACAATGGGCAGTGGAGGAGTGATGATGAATCTGTTCTTGTGTTCAACACTACTGAAACACATGTTTAAAGCACATTCTTCCATTTAAGCTTCATGAAAGTGTATGGTGGACTTGTAGATTTTAATGTTGAATCCTAAAAAATACCTAATGTGCTCAAAGGAAATCTGGGACCAAAAATCAATGCAGGCAAAAGATAATTTTTTTTTTCAGATCAGAATAGAGCTAGCTTGATTTGACAGCTTTTCAATTCCGTATGAGAAGAATTCAGGTGTATCTTCTTATAAACGGATGATATAAAAAGTGGTTCACCTTTTGAGGATGCTTTCCAGATACAGATATATCAATATATCTGTATCTGTATCATCTGTAGATATATATCAATGATATTTAGATACAAGGATGGTTTCATCAGTAATGAAGGCTGTTAAACATTTCCACTTGCTACCCTAATTGTGATTTCTCTAGAAGCATTCAAAGAGTTACAAAGGATGGATGGGTGAAGTTTGTTACTTTGCACATGAAAGTAACTTGATTAGACAGATGACCTCTTGTCTCTTCAAGCTCTATGACGTAATTATAGCTAATATTTTAAGTTGTCTCTAATTTCTAAATCGAACAAGAATCTTGATTCCAAATTCCTCTTATTTTCTTCAGTTAGAGGGTAAAATGGATATATTGCTAATATCTAACTTCAGAAGGTCTAAAAATTAAAACCCAAACTCACTGCTGTTGGGCGATTCCAACTCATAGTGACCCTATGGAACAGAATTATGCCGATGGATTTCGGAGACTTAAGTCCTTGCGGGTATAGAGAGCCTCAGCTGCATAGCTTGCCCTGCACCTCTGTTAATATCCATCATCCTGGTACCCTTCTTCTTTTCCCAACAGTTATATTGGAATGTAATTCACATACCCTACAATTTATTGGCTCAATCTCATCAAGTAGAGTTGTGCAATTGTCACCCTATCAGATTTAGAACATTTTCTTCATTCTCATACTCATCATTATTGGCTTCCGATTTTACCTCAACCGCCCCTGCCCCACCAAAGAACCATGAATCCAAGTTTCTCTCTCTATAGATTTACCTTTCCCAAAGTAGAAAACATTTAAAAACCAAAATTAACAACAATTACAAAGTAAAACAGGTTAAAAAAAACTAAATAGAAAAGAAAGCTTACAAAATTAAACTAGAACAAATGTAAATGGATCATAAGGGTTATCAAATGATGGGGTGCTAAAGTATAACCGAACCACATCTGCAACAGTGCATTCTGTGTGCGAGCAAGGCTATTCACATCTCTGATCCATGGTCAGAAGGGATTCACCCGGGACTTAATCTATGTGTATTTCTCGTTTACTTTTTTTCCTTTTCTTTTAACTGAAATAGCTTTAAAATGAGTCAAAGAGAGATCAAATGACAAAATAGTGCATTTTTGCCTAACAACCTTTGCCGTAACCCACTTTACAATTCTGTCTGATAACAGGAATATTCACATCCCTCAAATTATATCATAGCAAACAAATGCATGCTGTTTTATATTTCAAATAGTACTATAATGAATAAACATGGGATTAGTCAAATTGAATCTCGAATCAAAAATTAAGGGTGAAATGCACTAATTACTCATGTTTTCCAAGAGCAGCATGATAAATATGAGTTCCAGATGTCCAATGTCAGTATGTTTAACCAGTTTTTGTTAACAAATCTTCTTCATGTTGAAATGGGTATTAGAACACTATTCCAAAACAGCATCTCAAAGCCTCGTTGAAACTTTCCATTATTTTATCTCTTGTACTGCAAATATTTAGTAGCTATTAAGAAACTGGCATTTTATTTTTGGTGACTACTACTCATAGGTGAAAATATGACTACACTTTATCAAGGGTTTTGTAGAATCTGCTTGGTTCCATATGGCTGCTAAGAAATGTCAACAGTTGGCAAACACGAGTGACAACAATACAGAAGACAAAGAATCTCTAAGAGTGCAGCATAGTCATGCAGTTCACATTCGACTAACCCAACAGGAAAGTCATTATAATAAATGTAGCCTACAAATATATATATATATATATATATATATATATAAAAGGGAGAGGTTTGAATTATTTACTATTAGCCTAGCTAATTGTTTGATGCCTTTAGGGATGTGCATTCAAGTTTTATTATTAGTTAAAACTTCATTAATTTATTTAAACACAAGTTTAACAAAATGCTAAAATTTTTATATGCCAGCATAAATCACAAATGATTCAGTGTTATCTAGCTAGCAACCAAGAATTACAAATGTGTAGTATCACACATAGTATGAATGAATCATCCACAAGAAAATCCTACACAGATTGAATCTTATTTCTCACCATATTATAATAGTACATTGCTGATACCTTTTATTTATGACTTGTTTTATGCTGGAAGGAGATGCTTATTTTGAACTTCTTTTAAAATAATGAATAATACAACATTTTAAGAAACTATGAAAACTTTTAATAAAACCACTGTTTAAAGCAAATCCAAATTGAAAACAAAAGAGAGATTATGAAATACTACAAAGTAGGAGAAAAAGAATGTCTCCCTGGTCCCTGTTCCTGAAGTTGACCCACAGTTTGACTGTGGTGGGCAGTCAAGAGGTCTTTCAAAGGCTGTGGCTGCTCTGCTCCTAGAGGGATGGTGGTTGCCTGAGTTTATTTTTGTGTGGACATGCCAACTCTTCTAGGAAGCATGGGGCCCCAGTGGGTATGTTATGGCTGCCTGGTAAAAGCAGGTGCACGCTAAAAGTTTAATCTAGCTTTCCAGTTTCCTTAAGTAAACCCAAAACAACACTTCCACCTCACTGAAATCTGATTGATCTTGTGGAAGTAGATCAACTGGCCTTTCTTTAGAGGCCCCCCTATAGGTAGATTCAAAACTTGAACCTTTTGACTAGTATCCTAGAGTATAAAATATTTTTATAAAACAGGGGTTATGTTAATCTGCTGATCCCATATAAATACATAATAGCAATATCTTCACGAGTGTTTGAACCAGCACCTGGGCACCAAAGCCTATCAAAGTTGACACATAAAATTAAGTATATGAGTCCACACCTTGCCAACTAGGCACTGATACACATCTCATTAAATATTACTTCATTTCCAAATAAAGATATTAATAAAGTCATACTTGACCTAACATCATATAATGATTTTGCATAAAGACAAATGTTCACTAACCCCTTCCCCAGAGAAAGAGAGCCCTCTTTGTCTCAGTAGCTTTAACACCTTGTTGCTGTTATTTTTGAGTACTGTCAAATCAGCTGCAAGTCATACCTGCCCCATGCACAACTGAGCTGAACATTGCCCGATTCTGCACCATTCTCGCAGTTATTGCTCTTGGTACCCATTGTGGCAGACACTGTGTCATTCTATCCAAACTAGGATCTCCTTCATTTGTTTGGGATTACTGCTTTACTCCAGAATCATGCATAGTTTATGGCACATATTTAATATTAAACATTCAGTAAATGGGCAAGGTTTTTGATTCAGCATCGTGTGACTTAGGATATTTGGGTTATAACCGAATACACGACACTCACTAGTTTAACAAGAGGAGTGTACTGTTTTAGTATTCGTGAATTTCAGAAAATGGGACAAATTCTAGCGATGATTTATCAGGTGGCAGATCCAATTTCTTGGAATGTTACCAGTTTTATCTTTCATATATGTTTGATATGTCTTAGGCCACCTTCCTTCTGGATAGCATTTTGAATGAAGCAGTCTATGGACTCATTCTCTCTCTCTCTCTCAAAAAACCCCCAAACAAAACAAAAACGCAACTTTCTCTTTCAGACCAAGCAATAAGTAAAACCCTCCACTTCCATCTTACTTTAGCAATATGCATCAATCACAAGAGGCCAAGATTGCCAGGTGATGATTTCCTGGCTCCTGCCTTGGTGTCCATTTGTCTAATGGGAAAACTGTGCAAAGTGACTGTGATTATGCTGATTAACATATGCTAATAGGATCTCATCCCTGGGGAGACAGTTTAAAATAGAGATCAGATAGAAAGGAAAGTCAATTACAATCAAATAACATTAAAAAATAGTTTATAGCCATTAAAATGATTTGGCCTAATTGTATATGTCAGCAAGCAAAGGTGACTATAAATATGAAATATTATTTAGTGACAAATTCAAACTCTCCAGGAGTATTTATGTGGTTAACCAGTCTCTTATTTGGCCCTCAAGGATCCTCGGCTTCTTGGTTTTGTTTCTCTATGTGTTTCTTTTCTATATTTAATAAAAGATGAGTGATGTGGTCCATAGAATACTATAAAAGTGGCAGTGTATCTTCTAAGATTATTATAGAGGACATTTCCACCTTGATCTTATGGATGATAAATTCTAGAAGTTAACCCGCTATGTCATGAGTTTACTCAAACGTGTTGTCCTTGGCTAGCATGGAGCCTATTCCAATTCACAGTGACCCCACGTGCAACAGAGCCACATACTCCCCAGTCCTGCCCCCTCCCCACCGCCATTGCTATGCACGTCCATTATGGCAACCACTGTGTCAATCTCTCCCAGTGAGGGTCTTTCTCTTTTTCGCTGACCCACCACCCGGTGCTTTCCTCTGTAGAAACTGCTCCCACTGATAACATTTCAAAAGTGCACGAGGCAATGTTTCACCATCCTCCCTAGTGAGGAGTGTTTTGACTGCTCTTTTCCCAAGAAAGGTCTGTGTGTTCTCCTGGCGGTCCAGTCCATGGTGGTATACTTAGTAGGCTTA